CGTGAGGTATGCGTTCACTTGATTCGCCTTTTTGTGACTTTTGGCCATTTGTTGATCACATTTGTTGGCATCGATTGGATTCAATATGACGTCAATCAATGTGTCGATCAGTTTCTCGCTTCCTATTCATTAGGGAGACAACAAAACCATTAGTAACTCACTGAGGAGGTCGAGTGCACCACAAGGGCTCACACCTGATAGTAATCTCTTTAAGTCGAAGGTCTGTCTTTGTTCAAAGACCGACTTCAGTGTCTTAGCCGTCAGTATGGATACGATCTGTGCGTTCACTTGGTTTACAAGTATGGATGAGTCGACGCCGGAGTTGACGCGAAACACGAGACATATAATGAGTGGCGGCTTATGAGAGAAAGTGATGCGAAGACCGGATGTGGTCTGAATGTGGCGAACGGTGTCGCTGTGGACACTGTCCACCACATGGATCAGTGCCACACAGACGCCCATCAATGTGATCGAGTCCTCGCGTCTCGAGTAACAGTAGACAGGTTTGCCCGACTCGGACATCACAAACACGTCCACCTCATCCGACACACCGGAGCTGATCCGACATTGCAATCGCATGGTGTCGAAGCCATTGGACAGACCATCGATGGACGAGTCGTCTCCAGAGGCACTCATTGCTCACCGATTGGTGTCACCGATAGTCCACTCAATTATTGCATATACTAGCGATGGATCAAATCAGTGGTAAACCATCGGTTGATTCGCTGATTGTGTTGTCGATTGGTGTCTGAAATCCTCGGGATTTGCGTCCAATTTGTGGTCAACTCTGAAGACATTCACAGATTTGTTGATAGGAGTGAATGATGTCTGCAATACGAGTGACCCATAGATAACGTCACCACAAATACTGTGCCATTGAATGGATGGCAAACTTTGAGCCCTTTCTATGCGATGGGAAACCCATTCAATGCCTTCACTCCCAACTCACACATCAAACGCACGTTATTTATATCTAATGATTAACTCATAAAACTTGCGATTAATCAGAGATTTAAAGAAAAAATTATTTAATTAATCAATTAATCAGTAATTAATGTTTGTTTTAATGGCATAAAAGTTAACTCAAGACATAAATACAAGCGATTGTCATATCATAAGAGATACAAAAAAGTGGTACAAAAGGCGCCAAAAATGCATTTCTCACACGAAATACACTCAACTAATGGACATAAATGACGTCCAAAGGGGCGCTCAATGTGTGTTGCATTGAACCATAGGTTTTGCATTGAAATGAATGGCAAACGAGCGCTCAATTTGTGGACATTTTTGGTGAACTCATGGACTGATTGTTTTGATGCCAAATATCGACTGCGAAGTTGTTGTCCACGACTCGTGTCCACAGAAATGGTGATCATTAGCGCCGACGCGCTCAAGACGTACACCAAATACAGTGAACACAAACTGAAGCTCAAAGTGATTCACTTCTGTCCCATCGATGGCAAGGAAAGTGACGCCAAATGCAAGCGCACTGTTGTCACCACCGACTGCTCCCAACCGAAGACACCACAACCAGACACTCAACGATATCTCGTGATTATCTTCTACGGCTCGTACGCCAAGACACCGTTCAAGAAGTCGGCGCTGAAGACGGGACAGGTGTTCACAATACAGCGCTTCGAGACCACGACTATGCCTAAGAATAAGGTCTTCAAAGGTTGGTATCGATTGTCTTGTAATCATATCTATTATCCAACCACTCATTGATGTATTGTCTGTCGATGTCTTCAGCCAACGGAACGCTTCTTAAAGACTTTTACGAGCCGTTAGTTGTGGTGAAAGCCGAATACGAGCCGTCCATCAAATGGTTGGTCAGTCTTCGCGAAGAGCCCTTCACTGGCGTCGCGGACAGCGATTCGTTGCCCGAAGACCATCAGCCGTCGAGTGCCGCCACGAGACCAGACAATGACAATGCGGACCACAGAGTGAACAAATCGGTGACACTTTCGGCCAAAAAGAAACTCAAATTCGGTTCGAGTGACGATGAGATGGACATTGAGTTGCCATCTGATGATGACTTCGACACCGATAGCCGTCGCGTCACCCGACAGAAGGCCAATGAAAGTGCCAAAAGACATGATATTCATGTGTGTCTTTCGCCCAGAAATCAAAATAAGACAAACAAAAGTAGTCACACAAGTAGTCCACAAATCAGTGCCAGAAGTCCCGCAACGAGTGCCAGAACTCCCGCATCGACTGCAAGAAGTCCAACCACTGCTGCCAACAGACGCTATGAATATAAGACACTCATCGAAGTCCATAACCTGTTCCCTGTGAGTGGTAAGACGTATTGTCACATCTATGGTGTCCTCAGATATCGTGACTATAGGAAGAATGCGATGTATTTGAGAGACGAGAAGGCGTTCACAATGACTGTGCAGTTGAGGCCCGGGAACAGCTCTTTTCGTCACTATCCGGGCGCCAAACCCGGGGATGTCATCCGAGTTCATCGCATACTACTGGCGCCCAACTGTCTCGAACCTATCTGTTGTGACCCCAAAGATATGGTTGTCTTCGAGGCATTCCAAGACTCGGAACAGTTTTCGCCGATTAAGACGAGTATTAATATGACAATCGAACAGTTCGATAGACACCGGAAACGAGAACTCGAGGAATGGTTTGCCAACGAATTAGTCGGTGATAGTCTGAGTGAGAAGAAGCACACGGATTATAACTCATACGCGGAACTCACGGTTCAGGTGCTCCGAAAGACCACTACTCGCGACCGAACAGAGCTCGTGGTTTGGGACACAACACGTCCGGCGCTGCGGACCCACTCATCGCATGTCTCGACGGCCGGTATGTCTCTGACCAGCGCTGAAGAGGAGTTGATTCGTATTGTGAATGAGAATCAGATGTCAATTGTGGTCACTGTGTTTGAACAGCACTCTAATGACGCCCAAAGTATCAAACCCTTTGACTTCATAGTCCTATTCAATGTCAATATCAGAAACGACAGGTACAGAGAGGGCTTCCACACGTATTCCCTCCACTCGACCTATGCTTACGGCAAATGTATTCGTTATGTGAAACCAAATTCAATACTAAGTATTGCTCTGAAATTATTTCTTAATTAATTTATTTTTAATTACTGTTTGTTTTCTATATTTAAAGGCAAAAAACTTTACGATCGCATCGAGGAATACAAAGTAATGTCAGCCGTGAATGTGGAGAGCCCTGCCCTCGAAGACGCCTTTCCCTCGCAATCGTTTCTTATGGATAGTCATTTTCTATATTTAAAGGCAAAAAACTTTACGATCGCATCGAGGAATACAAAGTAATGTCAGCCGTGAATGTGGAGAGCCCTGCCCTCGACGACGCCTTTCCCTCGCAATCGTTTCTTATCGATAGTCAAGATGTGGAGCAAACGGTGCCCGAAGAGAGTGCCGTGTTTTCAGATATGGCCGACTTTGAGGTGAACTTCGACGAAGTGATTGATGTGTTGGATCGCGAGGAGTCGTATTTGCCGGTCACCAACATTGTGGACATTCCCTCCAAGAATATACTGATCGATGAGTTGGTGCGCACCGCGGAGGACAAGCACTTGTATAAAGTGAAGGCTCGTGTCGTTAATTATCTGCCGTCCAATGAGCGAAGGGATGTCATCTCTGTTTTGTGTACAAACCAAGAGTGCCATCGAATGATAACATTAAGACAAGCCGTCGCTGAAGACCCGCTCATTGAATCCATTATAGAGTCGTCCAAAGAAAAGAGATTATCTCTGAATTGCTTTAAATGCAAACAGAGTTCATGTGTTTTGGTGTTTAAATTGATTTTTATACTCGAAGACAATAAGCACCACAAAGTGATGGCACAGTTGTTTGGATACAATGCCGAACTGTTCCTGAGGGCCACTCCCGTCGAAGTGCTGCAGACGGACTCGAAGTGGCATTTCGTCGAAAGGCTATTGAATTATATTTGCGCTAAAATATCGTCCATTGATTCCAAGAAGTCGTCAAATGTGTTAAACTATTGGGTTCTTCAGCCCTCGAGAGTCGATAACAATGAAAACGATGTCTTTATTTATCAGATCCGAACGGTGGTCGCCATCGAGACGGCCGACAAATGTATTGGTCTTAATATATGAACGTCTCATCACTTCCTGTATTTTGTTTTTTCATTGAAAAGTTTTACAATTCATTAATTGTCTGCATTTATTGTTTTCAAACAGTTATTATTCAATCAAAATATATTTTATGTTAACTTTTTTGGTACAAACAGATATTATACGATATTTTATTTTATAATTGAATGACATATAGACAAAAACAGTATTTTATTCACGATTATTCATTATACAATTGTATTATTGATAAAATACTTGCAAAAAATATAGACACTACTGTATAGTAGGCACAAAACCGACAGTTTAAACTGTTTTTTAATTTATGTCATTCATTATATTCGCATGAATTTTGTGATTAAATATTCACAAACTATTATCACTTTTTTTTGTACAGAATTTCTATATATTTTATACTGTACTGTATGTTATATTTAAAGATAGCAGTAAAATATTAATTCAAACCCAAACTCTTATCTCCAATCTATTGAAATGACTTATAATTTATGCCCCAATTCTGTGTGCACTTCATCTGTACGTCAAACAAAGTATTGATTCACAAAAACATTGACTCGTCTTTCAAGATAAGTGCCATATATTTATGTCTTTTGTTATTATTATATAACAAATACTCATTTTATATAATATCTCTCCAACACTACTGTATACTGTCATACAAAAGACTAACTTCTATATGATATATGAAAAAATCATTTTTGAACCGACATTTCGATGAGAGAAAGCGGAGAGTATCGCGAAATACAAATTCAATTAAAAAAGTTCTCATATAATGTACTGTATATTCTGTATATACTGTATATTCTGTATATTGTATTTCATTTCGATTTTATGCTAAACTAAACCTCTACTCAATTATATCGAAAGGCAACCACTTTTGGCTTTTCTATTATATAAATGTCTTTAATTGAATTTTTTGTCTTCATTTGATTAGTGAGTAATTGAATTAATTCTTATCGTTTTGTTGGCCTTTATTTCAATGAATAATAGCCACTATTAAGGGAACGGGAGGACAGAG